CTAATCATCCATACTACTTCCAAGTGCAGGGAGCAATGGCCATAGTGGGAGTGGAATGGTGTGACTTCATTGTCTGGACGCTAAATGACATGACAGTCGAAAGAATCATCTTTAACAAAGCATTCTGGAACTCTTGCTCCACATATTTAGAGTCTATATACCTATCATATATATTACCAGAAATAATCTACCCCAGACTTACTTTAGATTTAGACATCCATCATTACATACCTCCAGTCTGTAGTAATGCACACCATGTTGAGCCTTAAACTATGTAGATCTAGTCACATGATCATATTATTATTATTTATTATTATTATTATTAGACTATTCAAAAGTTATACAAAATAATTTTAGGTATATATCTAGTTAAAGGTAAATATCACAATATTAATTATAGAGAATGGGAAAGGGGAGGAGAGGATCTAAGGAGGAGATGAAAGAGAAAGGTAATAAGGTAGCTAAATATATAGTTAACTGGCTATTAAATTTTGGTTATTGGCTGTTCTTGGTACAGAGTGGAGGGTGAAAATTAGTTAATATTGCACACACAAAGAAGAGTTCTGAGGCTAACCCTGCCATATTGTTGGGTATGTTAGTTAACATTTTAAAAGCCTTTACTCTACTAAATGCTCTTTCTATGTGTATGCGTAGTGATGCTATCCTGCGTGTTTCAATGAGCTCTCTATCACCTAATTGATCACCGTGTTTTCTTGGAGGGATGTTCAATGTTATTCCTTTCTTTTCAAGTACATCAGCGATGTTGAATCCCTTGTCAGCCATGACAGCATCACCCTCTTCAAGTATCTCCAGCAGACCAGAATTGAGAAATAATTCACGATCAGAAATAGATCCGCCATATAGTGGAGAGATAAATGAAAATGCACCAGATGGGGTAATACCGGCTAGAGCTTTAGCTGTATTATGATTTTTATAAGAGCTGAATGTTAATTGTTGAGCATGAGGATTGCTGGGTCTTTGAATGAACACCTCTGTTGCGTCAATTATGATACGTGTGGAAGAATAATGTGACTTAAACTGCTCAGGTATCAATGATTGAACTTGTGCTTGCGTTGGCCAAATCGGAATCTCCTTAAACTTATAGTAAAGAAAGTTCACCCATGCTGTAAAAATTCTAGACACAGTCGACTGAGATATTTTGAATCTATATGCCAAATCCTGTTCCATCATGCCACACCTCAAACGGCAGAGTGTCAAAAAGAATTCGTTTTGTGGAGAAATTGCACGTTGACTTTTCATTCTTGTTTTTGATGATGGATCAACTGATGAGCCTGGATATATGATATGATGGACTGCATCCCCAAGGAAATTGTAGCATATTATGAAGTGAGCATATGTTGGGAATGATGTGTAAAAGTGAATGGCACTGTCATCATCCATAAATGCTTCAATACCAAACGATGCTACACTAGATGTATGAACTGCTTCTGATAGTGCTAATGCAGGTTCATCCCTCGTTTGAACTGAACTTAAGAATGATGAAGTGGAGCTTGGAGGACTCAATGCGTATGTGTGGTCATGAGCTACTGCTTGACGCATCTCTTCCCTCGTCAGTCTTACTCTCTTGTGACTGATTTCTAATCTATTTGATGGTGGTTTTCTGTGTTTAGGTGCTGGTACTTTACTCAGGCATTCACTGCAAATTCTTAAGTGTGCAGCTGGTTTTTCATGTATTTTAAAAAAACGATATAGTGCCTCATCATGAGGTGGCCTGTGCCATGATAAATAGTAGCAATCTGGGTTATTTGAGCAGTTGGTGCAGCCTTCAACAAGGCAGATGTAAACCATCTATAGAAAAATAATATTCTAAGCTATTAATGCATGAGTGATCAATTTACATGATGACTACAAGCATCACTTGCATGTATGCAAGCCCAGCCCCACCCAAACGGCAGCCTACTGCTGTTGCGTACCTTGAACAC